CAGGGTGGTTAAGCACTGGAATAAGTTGCCTAGGGAGGTTGTGGAATCTCCATCATTGGGGATTTTTAAGAGCCGGTTGGACAAACACCTGTCAGGGATGGTCGAGATAATACTTAGTCCTGCTATGAGTGCAGGGGACTGGACTAGACGACCTCTCAAGGTCCCTTCCAGTCTTATGATACTATGTGGTTTGTCCTGCTTCTCCTTGCACTGTACCTTCTCCATAGGCACAGAAGCCATGCCCCAGGGGCTCCAGACTGGGCACTGAAATTCACCCATCAAATGTATCCCTTCCCCTGATTCTTTGCAGCAGCGTGTTTTGGAGGATGGGGGGGATGGAGATTCGAACCGATCAGTGATGAGGGAATGAGGAAGCTGCGCCGACGTCCGAATTAGGTTCTGCAGCTGGCTTCGGGGTATGAGATGTCGGCCCTGTCCAAAGCAGACGGTGAAATCGGTGGCTGGGGGGGTTGGGTCCAAGGCAGGGGTTCTGCCCCCCGCAATACCCTCCAGGGTTCTGATTCGGAGCTGGAGACGAACCCATGGAAAGGCATAGCTGGCTCCATGTTGCACGTCCAGATTGGCTCAGACCTTCACAGGAGCAGCAAGGACAGAACTTACAGCGCCTAGTCCCTTGCCACAGGAGATGATGATGGGGAACCTCCCTGGTGATTAGCAATACAGCAGGTGAGTCCGCTCCCAGATGAGCGCCCCCTCTCGGCCACTCACTAGAGGGCCGTGACCGTCTTTTAAGTCTCCGGAACCAGGCACTGCCCCAGTCTTGGGGTCTCCAGGGACATTCTCAGGGCGCAAACCTTCTGGCTAGCACCCCCTACTGAGAGCTGGGACCTGCTGTCCAGTTGCCCAACCCCTCGGGGTGCAGCATTGATCCTTCAGCCTCCCCCTGGCCTAACCACAGCCTCTTCCAGAACTCCACCGAGCGGCGTGAGACTGCTGCCAGCCCCAATGATGCGGCTCAGCGGCTCGAGTTCTCTGAAAAACGCAACCAGAAGGTTAGGAACCCTTAGGAAGGGGGTCGATAATAAGACAGTAAATAGCATAATGCCACTCTATCAATCCATGGTACGCCCCCAGCTTGAATACCGCGTGCAGTTTGGGTCGCCCCGTTTCACAAAAGATATATTAGAAGTGGGAAAAGTACAGAGAAGGGCAACAAAAGTGATGAGGGGCATGAAACAGCTTCCACGGGAGGAGAGATTAAAAAGCCTGGAACTGTTCAGCTTAGAGAAGAGACGACCAAGGGGGGATATGAGTGAGGTCTATCAAATCATGACTGGTGTGGAGAAAGTGACTAGGCGGGTGTTATTTACCCCTTCTCATAACACAAGAACCATAGACGCTGACTTTGAGAGTGCTTCGGGTGCTCCAGCCCCGAAGCACTCTCAATGTGGGAAAAATGGTGGGTGTTCTACACCCACCAGCAGCCCCCCTACCAGTTCTCCCCCCACCACACCACCCCGGTGTCTCCTGTCTGCCGGTGGCCCCATAGCTCAGCCCCTTCCCATGCCTCCTGCCTGCTACAAACAGCTGTTTCAGGGCGTGCAGGGAGGCTGGGAGTGAGGGATGTGGTGCTCTGGGGAGGGGGCAGAACTGGGCGGGAAGAGGCATGGCAGGAAGAGGTGGGGTGGGGGTGGGAAGAGTGGGGTGTGGCCTTGGGGGAAGGGGTGGAGTGGGGGCAGGACCTGGGGCAAAGCCAGGGGTTGAGCACCCCCTGGCAGTTTAAAAAGTCAGCGCCCGTGACAAGAACCACGGGTCACCCGATGAAATGAACAGGCAGCAGGTTGAAAACAAACCTAAGGAAGTATTTCTTCACCCAACGCACAGTCAACCTGTGGAACTCCTTGCCAAGGGATGCTGTGAAGACCAGAAATATAACTGGGTTCAAAAAAGAATGAGAGAAGCTCCTGGAGGAGAGGTCCATCAATGGCTATCAGCCACTATATTCAGGGACGCAACCTCATGCGCTGGGTGTCCCTAAGCCTCTGACTGCCAGAAACTGGGAATGGGCGGCAGAGGATGGATCACTCAATAATTGCCCTGCTCTGGTCATTCCCTCTAAAGCATCTGGCACCAGCTGTCAGAAGACAATAGGAGGATAGATGGGTCTTTGCTCTGAGTCTTGGCCATTCTTGTCAGTTCAGCAGAGGGCGCGCACACAGACACACACCAACCAGCTCATTCCACGGCTCTAAAGTCCAATGAACCAGTATCCCAAAGCCAGGGTTGTGTTATTACATGCATTAAGGTAGCACCAAGAGACCTTGTCCGATGCCCCAAGATCGGCACCACACACACATAGTCAGACAGTCTAAAACACCACTCGGCCTGCCCCTGCTGTGACTCCCGTGCAGTTCAACACAGGTCAATGGCCCTCTTGTTCCTAGGGAGAAATAATATGAGAGCTCAACACAATCCGGGAGAGGAAGGGCAGATAGTTGGGGGGCCGAGACGGGCTCGCGGATCGGGCCTGGAGGCCGCGTCTGCTGTTGCATCTGATATCTACGGATGCATCTGCAGAACTCCTCCCGTGCCACCGAGGGGAGGACCAGCGCTGGCCGTTCCAGACCTGAAATGGGCCTGCGGAGTGACAGATGGTAGAAGGGGCCCGCTGGACGTACCCGCTCGGGATAATGTGGCAGTGTCGAGATCTCACAAGCTCGGCAGGGCGGCTGATGGGTCAGGATTTGGAGAAATAAATACACAACCGGGGATGGTGCTGCAGGGAGGTGGACAGTCACCGCTGACCCCAATCCCTCAGAGCAGTGTGGCGCTAGGGGGCGCTGTGCTGCAGGGAGCAGGGTGGGTGACTCACCAGGGGGCGCTCTCCCCTCACAATGCGTGCTGACCTCAATGCTCCAGCATGGCACTAGGGGGCGCTGTGCTGCCATCTCAACCCAATGTCCTGATTAATGTGTGATCCTTAAAAATGCCAGGGTGCTTTCCCCCCCAGCCCCCCCCCAAGAGGCTCACGCCTCTGGCAAGATTCCCACGCCCGTAATTCCGTTCAGCTCTCTAAACTTGCCCAGCAATCTCAACCAGAGGTGGGACTCCTTTACTACCCGCCCTGAAATCTAGAGCTTTGTGCTACGAAACAGCTGCTACACGTCAGCACTAAGTTCTTGGGATCCTTAAGGATGAAAGACCCTGTAAAATAAGACATTATTTTTAACAAAACCCAGCTCCCACATCAAATCTTCCCTTCTTCCCCCTCCCACCCCCGCCCTTTCACAGTAAGATAGTCTCGTAGACTTTAAGGTTAGAAGGGACCGTTACGATCATCTAGTCTGACCTCCTGCACAACGTAGGCCACAGAATCTCACCCACCCACTCCTGTAACAAACCCCTAACCTATGCCTGAGTTATTGAAGTCCCCAAATCGTGGTTTAAAGACCTCAAGGTGCAGAGAATCCTCCAGCAAGTGACCCGTGCCCCACGCTGCAGAGGAAGGCGAAAAACCTCCAGGGCCTCTGCCAATCTGCCCTGGGGGAAAAG